ATTTAATTATAGATAAACTAGGTCTACGGCTGAAATTCTTGGAAATCAAGTCACTACATGTTGAGATCAAAAAAGCTTCAACATGTAAATCCCAAAAAGTTGAAGAAAAATTCACCCAGTACTAAAAGCCTGATTTTAATTTTGAAAACATATTTGAATTCTTTATTCAATATTTTAGGTTATGTAGGAAATCGATTTTCGACTTTTTTGTATTGTTTAATTAGTATAGTACCCCAAATAAATTTTCTTTTTTTTCAAAATTCAAATTTATTTAGGTATTTTAGGTATTAAGTTACTAAAAAAAAAAAGAACCGAAAATTCATTTCCTACATAACCTTGAAAAGAACGAATAAGGAATTTATTCTAATGTTTTCAAATTTAAAATCGGGATTTTGGTACCTACTGGGTGAATTTTTCTTCTGCTTATATTGGTCTAAATTCATAAAAAAAACGACCAGCTTTCAACAGCCTTAATATTTTATATTTGGAACAAACAATATACCTAGTACCATACCTACTATATTTATATACTTAATAAAACATAACATTTCATTTTTTTAAATAAAACCATACCCAAGACTGAGTCTGCAAGACCAAGTTTTTGAAAGAGTTGGTCTTGTTTTGATTATCACTATCGAAATATAGTTAGTCGTTTATAAAGGTGTAATTATTATACCTATAATCAAATTGTACTATACTATATTAGTAAATAGTAAGTATATTATGTATTGTGTACATCGTGTAAGAAAACTATAAACACAAGGTCCTGTGGTGTGTATTTACCTATATAGTCATATCATATCTATAGCTTTTAACCTATCTAAATATAATTTCAAACACATTCTGACGCACTGTAATGAAGTTAACAACAGAATACAAGATAAAATATTATTACTTTTATTATATTCAAAAATATTTATCAATTACATTGAAATGTATTAACGAAATTGTTTCAACAGATTATAGTATCATTACCAATATAAATAAATCAAAATTATTATTCATACAAAAAAATATACAAAATATATTACTATGATTTCTCGGTTTAATGAAGTATTAACTACCATCAAATAAAATATAAAAAATTAAAAAAAAAAAAATTCGATAATCATAGTTTTTATCTAGGTCTTGATCTAATATAATGACTTCTCAGTTTGATAATTAACTATCGTACTAAACAAAAATACCTATATTTAAAAAAATTACAGTTAGTTACAAATTATAATAATACCAATATTGGAACGTTTGATTTGTGCATCACATATTCACATCGTACTTTTCCTTTTAAGTATAATTATAATATGTACCGGACTTTTTCACAGGGAACTTTTTCGACATTGACTTTTTACGCCTCAGATTTTTTCACCACAGACCTTTTTATTTACTCGGACTTCTTTTCCTAGGACTTTTTTACCTCGGACTTTTTGGTAGTCTACCAAGAAAAGCAATCGATTGTCTTATGTAACCATTAAAACAATCTAGCATAATCGCCCAAATATTGAAGTTGCGCCACAGTACTTAATACAAGTAATACAATAATATTAATAATAATAAGACTTAAATTCTTAATGTACCTTCCCACTGGCTATTATAGAAATCTAAAAACATTACGTAAAAGTAGCGACCGTATAGACAACGATACTGTGTTTCAATATTATATACTATGTAAATATCGACTTTTATAATAAGTTTTGAATGTTTGATCATTTTGACATTTTTATATTTGTGAAATGGAAAAAATCCCATTTAGATCTCCTAGCCTTCATTATAAGAGTAATAGTTCGGTAGGCAACATAACGTACACGGTAAAGACGTTTGCTACAAAAAAAAAAAGAAAAAGGTGCTCTGCTGTACAGTAGGTTACAAGTGGATCACTGTATGATGGATGGTATTAAATTTGAATCCAATGATATAATATTATCATTGTATAAGAAAAACGATTCTGAGCGGAGGCGATATGTCAGTCTAGGTATAAGACATATAGACATATTATATGTATACTTATCTATGGTATTAAAAAAAATTGACATATAATAGGTACCTATAATAAATTCCAAATTAATCTTATCACAATAAATTATCCATTAAGTACTTATAAGTTATAACGCGTTATACATCAACAACAAACTCTGATACTATCATAGATATATAATAGTGTATACCTACCTACTTTAGAAGTTTCAAGTACCTACCAACGAATGATATTATACAATCACAACAAAATAACTAAAATAGTTATTTTAGATTTTCTATTATGTAATTTCGTCCAATTTTGAACTTAAAATGACTATAAAAATAAACTGTGCTTATGTATTTTTTAGAATTTTCAAGAATTACAGAATTAACTACTTACCTAGAATCTTGTTTTAAATTTTCAATCCTTAGATATAAAAGTTGAACATTGGGTGGTGTTTTAAATACTTTATTTTAAGAATATTAGAGTAATCACTTAAATACTTTTAAAAAGTATTTTTTACAACACTGCCAAGGGGGGTGACCGGCCCCCTCGACCAACCAAAATATGCCACTGGAACTATTGGTACCTATAATGATTTATCGATATTATATACTTTTACACAATTAATTTTCTCCTTTGTTAGTTAAAATGGTTAAGTGCATAATATAGGGTGGGGGGGGGGGGCAGTAAAATGAGCGATCATCCTATATAGTTATATACGAAAATCATCCAGTTCACTGCCCCATTCAGTATATACAACATAATTATCATAAATTATATTAATACTATGGATATAGACTGATTAAATCGTCTAAAAGACACTATAGTCTTCTACTATTCTTTAATCTATGAATAGATAGTATAGTGTATACATAGAAATACCTAAGCTATAATAAAAAGTTTATAACAATAGGTACCTACCTACTAGGTTTTATTATACAAATTGTCGTGTTCTTCTGTCAAATTAATAATTTTAATAGGCACCTTTTATAAATTTGTGATAAAATTACAATTTTTAAATAATATACAAAAAAATGTAGGTTGGTCCTTGTAAAATATTTTGGATACTTTTAAAATGTATTTGTATTTATATTCTAATACTTTTGAAAGACAGCATTCAAATACGTATTTCAAATTCAAATAACACAGTGTTATAAATTTTAAAAAAGGTACTCTGGATATATTTATATCAAGACTGGTACTGGTAAACTGTTAAGGATAGGTGGAAATCCATTAAAATTTTAGTGGGGACCTAACATTTTCAACTTCAATGTGAGTGTGGGGGAAAAGAGTTTTTGATCCATCACAACTAAAAAGCTGTCTGTTTTTAAGAGGCCACCTCAACCTGATTTCCACCTGGGGATATAAGGTGATCTAAACTCATGTATACAGCAACTGTAAAAAAACATACAATGTCTGTACCTACTCTGTAACCACATTTAAGATGGATAGATTAATATTATGGCTGACTGGCTATAGCTATGGAGACAAGGATAAGGAGGCCAAACCCGTAAAACATTACACTTATTTCTCTACCAGACTTAGCAGGTCTTCGAGACCATCCGACAGTCGACACACGATTAACGGATTAACCAATGTTATTAAACACTTTTTTAACCCTAGTATACCTCAATGTACAATAAAAAAACGGTAAGTCATAATAGTCATATTAAAATTAGCTTTATATAAGTTTTAAAATAGGAATAACATTCACTAGTTACAAATGTAAACATAAATAAGTAAAATAATTTTACTATTAATAATTATAATTGTATAATATGCAAAGGTAAAATGCAGCCGGACACAACTTATCACATTCACCACCACCAAGACAATATCATTTTACCGCCCTTTACCAAGCACTAAGATTTCTTAAAAATCAGTTCTAAAAAAGCGCCAACAGTTTTAAAACTGAAATATAATTAAACTAGATAACATCAAGACATAAATAAAGTTAATACATTGTAAAACAAAAATCACATTGTAGAATATCAACAGTAAGAATAACAAATAACTAATAAGACAATGACGTTGCAAAATATCAAAATACATTATAGGGTTAAACATGAAATTGTTGATTTTAGTCTCATAATGAAATTTTTCATATGAATAACATAATTATAAGTTATAAAACCATATTATTTTAATAAATTAGAATTGTTAAGGTAAATAATTAAATTTAAAATTATTCTACTTCAAAAGTATTATTATACAATAGAAGTAATTAGGATCTATAAATAAATAATAATAGTAATAAGTTGACAACGCCATCATACGCATTTATGCATTTATTAATACATAAATAATAAGACAATTATAATTTGTTTAATAATCTAAGTATAATAACAAATTAATATTAAATGATCAAGCACCAATTTTTAGACTTTTAACAGTCATAAACATTGAGTTTATGAAATTCGTTCAGTGTTTTACAATATTTGTCAATGAGTGGCACGTTTTTACCCTGCTTAAAATCTAAAGTATTTGTAATACATAATATAATTATATTATTAATATAAGCTACCGAGCAGATTTGGCAAATAGTTTTAATTTTGGTTTATTTAAATAACAATATAGAAAATATAGAAAATATTAACAAATCTTCAATAATAATAATAAAAACAAATTGACATAATGAAAATGAATACAATATATTAATTTGGCAAAGTGAGTTTAAATGTATACCGTGTGTTAAATGGTAAAAAAATAGAAATGTTTATGATATATTATGATGTATTTATGTAATATTAAAAATAACCATTATTTTTTAAATACCCAAGCCCAAAGTATTTAACTATCAAATACCGACATTTATATGATTCACAGTAGATAAAAAAGAATAAATTATCAAATTTAAATCTTGCTTTAAGAATGAGTAAAAATATATTTGTATACAATATCAGTATTAAATGCAAAAAACAAAAATTAAAATAGTAAATACTAATTTCATATTTTGAAATTAAATAATGTAAAAGGCGTAAAATGTTTTAATGATTATATGAATTGAATACTGTATAATAAGATTATACGTATATTATTATATTTAGCCAACAACTAGAGCCGTCAGACATTTTTTGTAGTCACCTGATGTATCGTCCTGAAACATAAAATTGATTAATAAACAAATAAGATTTATGTAGACAACAAAAACATAAATAAAGTAAATAAATAGATTAGTTCTTTTCTACAAAGGTTTCTAATGGATGTGTGCAAAATCAACAATTTTCAGACTTAGGTTAAAATAAGTTCAAGCAAACCAATAGTTTTAAATATTAGTTAATTATTGATTAATTCAGCAGTCAATCATTAGAAGCAGTGGCATGGCGAGGCAGTTTTTTTTAGTCATGGGTCCGTTGATTTTTGGGGGTGGTGGTCGAATAGATTTGTAAAATGTATTTCTTCTAAATTATGAACTTGAGAGTTGAGATATCAGCAAATGTTGGTATACATCTTTTTGTGAGTGGGTGGGTGGTTTGATGGATAAAATATATTTGGCTCCTTTAATTAAAATTGATCACCACACCACTGATAAGAGCTAACATATTTTTCATTCACTACTCGTGCAGCAACTCACCATAGTATCAGACTGTTGATTCGCATAAATAAAACAAAACAAATTTCAAATTAGGTGTTATATTTATCGTCAATAGTTTTCTAATCATAAAACATTTTTTTTTTGGTTATTGATTTATCAATATTTAATTTAAAAAAAAAATGCTATATTAATAGTCTGAATAAATGAGATAGGTCATATATAGTATCAGTATGAAATTTGAAGGTCACAAGCTTGAAAACATTTAATTTTAAATTTATCCTACACAGTATAGCTATCACAAAACTTGTTGACTATCATAAGTTCATTAAAGATAAGAACAATTATAATAGTACAGAGAACTGAAAGTTACCTTGTATAGTTTAATTCAATAGAGTAAGACTATTTACCTCTAAAATTTGTAAAAATTTTAAAAGAATTTTGGATAACTTTTGGTGTGTATTCAAATATTACACTACACATAAGCAACGCCAATTTAATCATTTATAGCTCATTAATTTAACTTGGGTTTGACACACTATATGAGGGGAGGATACGAGTAGATAGGTAGATTTCTCACATCCTGCTATTATGCTCCACAAATGAGTCAAATCAAAGTTAAAATAATGAGTGATAATTGATGAATGATTGTAATGGCAATGCCTATCTATAGAGTTATTTCATCTATGCTAAAGTTATCTAACATTCTTTTAAAAATGTTACAGATTATAGACATTATCTCTAATTGTTAATTTTTTTTTATTATCTTTTTGGTTCTTAAATTTGAATTGATTTAAAAAAGAAGTATTATAGGTGTCCAATATTTATTTTAAAACCTATATCATGTTTTATTATTACTATGGCTCAGATTTATATGTATTTATATAACCAAAGTACGTATTTATACGACAAAAATATGTACATAAATATGTGCTAAAGAATTCAAAATATGTATAATCAAAAAAAAAAAAAATAATCAATTGCTATCGATTTTTACGAGCGGTAGGTACAATAAAAAATGTGACTGCACTTTGTAAATGTTCATTTGGATATTTAGAAACATATTTTATTGCTTTGCAAGTTTTAGACGTTCGTACTTTTGGCATTACCTATTGGTAATATACATGTAAAATATAACGAAAAACGAGGCCACGAAACACACACTACGATGTCACATTAAAAACTACACACTCATCGCAGTGTTCGCTCGTTCGTGTTTAACTTGTTTAAAAATGTGTTAATCGTAATACATTATGATAAGATATCTGATATTTCAATCGATAAAATTGTATCTAGAAATAATTGAAAATATAACAGGTTGAGTGCCATGGTCGTTTAGCCAAGTTAAAAATACGTCCGGTGGACCTGAAATCTGAAGAAAAGACGTTATAACAGTAAAATTGTCTAAATATGTGAAAAAAAAATTGAATAATTGTGAAATATGTAAAACACGTATTTATGACAAAATATGTAAAAACAAATATAGCTCATTTTATCAAAAATCTTATGAAACGAATTTATCACTTGCCGAAATTAGTTTATCATGTCGCAGAGAAAATATGTTTTTACATATAAATCCGAGCCCTAATTATTACCTATAAAATAGTATAAATTAATGAGGGGTTGATGTATTGTGAACCAAATTATTAAGCAACAGTAGCAAATCTAACTCCATTAGGAGGGAGCCACACAATATGTGGTCATTATCTTTCTAACAAACATACAATATAGCACATTTATGTTCAACAGGTCAATTTTTAATTTTGCTTTTATTGATATAACGACATCTTAATTTAAGTATTAAATTGAGCTTTAACTGTGTAAAATATTACAATCTTTAAAATGCTCATCTCACTTAAAAATTTAAGCATTGATGAAAACCATTGAGATACTCTAGATAATATTCTCACCTTCAAATTTGATAATGAGCCACTTTAATAAGTAATATTTATGCAATGAATAAAATTCTAATATTAAAGACAACATAAACAACTTGATACTGCTGAATTCAGATTTTGTACGTTGTAAGTTTATAAGACAGAGACAATACATTAGGGTGCGATATCTTTACATAATTGTATGAAAAATAAATAATGCTAACATTTTTATTATTTTATTTTTATTATCTAGTATTAAAAAAAAAAAGTCAGTCTTAAATAGCTACTTAAGTGATTTAAATGAACCAATTTTGATGTATTTTAATTTATAAGTCAGTTATGTTGAAATATTAGATTAGGCACCTACTTCATTTCATTCACCTATACTCTGTTCCAAAAGAGAAAACACCAGATTTAAGGAAGAAAACCAGTTTTGCCTGTAGCCGCCTGGTGTCTTCTCTTTAGGAACAAGGTATTGAAATTACAAAAATAAAAAGATGAATTTGATTGTTTTTCACATTTATCAAATTAATGTTCAATCGATACTGGTCTAGTTGACGCCTGCCACCTAAATCTCTCGTGTTTTCAATGTTTTATTGTTCTAGTCAATAATTTAATAATTCATAAAAAAAGTAAGAAAATGATTAAAATCTCATTTAGCATACATTCATTCGGTATTGATAGATACGGCACACGCTGTTATACCTATCTTTTATCATTAATTTAACTACACGGATTTTACCAAACATTATTCTTAAATATCTAATAATTAGGGAATTGCATACAAAAATGCACACCTAACGTGTGTGATTTCATACCTTTTTAATCTACAGTATATACATTCTTTATCAAATGACTAGAATATCAAAAACACGAGAGATTTGAGTGGTGGGAATCAACTAAACCTGAGTGGCAGGGGGAATATTGTTTTGGCGGGGGTCGACTAGACCAGTACCGTTTAATCAAAACATGATATTTGAAAAATTTTATCTACAGAATAAAAAAAATAATTAAAAATATAAAACACACTTATAACAAAAATTAAGGTACATTTTCTTTCATTGCTGATAAGATATTTGATATGTGTATATTGTGAAAGATAAATATAAAATAGTAAAATGTAGTAGGTATTTTAAGAGCTATAAGTTAAAAAAAAAACATTTTACTTAAGCACTGTGATTTTTTTTTTTTATTAAGAAGTAATGCTTAATACCTAGTATGCCTCCACACACTAGCACAGTATATTGTCTTCTTCTTACAAGCATACAATATAGCATAATACAATCTTATCTGTTTTCAGCAGTTCCAATTTTTGAGTAACCTTTAATAATAGAGTGAATTGACCCGGGTTGACTTATTATCAAACTTAAAGGTAAGAACATTATCAATGTTTTCGCTTAGGTTTTTCTAAAGATTAATCATTATCAAATGAAAAAAAGTTATCATGAAATTTAATAATTGCGCACCCTTATTTCATAATATGACTAGTATATACCATCGATAAAATATAATGCTTACCGCAATATCAGCCTCCAAAGATTTCCCATACATTGACATGTAAGCATTCTTAATATCAACCATATCTATTTCACAACGAGTTGCCACAATACGAATCAACGATCGATCATTTGTGCCAAAACCAGCCATGCTTTCGTGCAAACGTTTGGCGAAGTATGAACTTTTGTCTCTTACGGATTTCACTGTAAAATGATAATATAACAGTTTATGTACAAACAGTTTAAATTAGAAAATTTGAAATCCTTACCAAGTGCTCTAAGCCCATTCTCAATATCTCCACTGAATTCACTTTTAATAACATCTTCAAAATCTCTTCCAGTTAGACGATGATATTCTAAAAATACTTGTTGTAGTTGACAGAAACTACGGCTACACAAGATCATGTTGAATGTAGACTCATCCGTTCCAACTTGTAGTTCACCTATCAAGTTAAAATAATTTAAAAATACACTATTAGTTAAAATTTTTTTTTTAAATTAATGACATAATATACCAGCTTGTAACAAGTTTTGTGCATCAGCTTGTGCAGATGCAACGTCAACAAATGTATTCTCATTGCGTTGTCCCTATAAAAATAAAAGTAAAATTATATTATGATCAAAGAATAGTACTAAAGAAAAAACAAACCTGACAAAGCGACACTAATAATCTGCGGAAAGTTCCTGATGTTTCTCCCATAAGCTCTTTTTCTAAATCTTTACCAAACACTAGAAAAAAAAACATAACAGTTACATTAAAAACAAATAGATTAATATAAACTAAATATAACATACATTTATGGTATGCCATTTTTATGTTATTAATCTCAGCATTAGAAGCAGTGCATATGATTTCAATTATTGTTTCTTCATTAGTGCCAATACCATCAATAGCATTGTGAATTTCTTTAGCAAGAAAATCATAAGTAGGCGTCATGAGTGCTACAACCAGATCTTCAAACTTTCCACTCAGTTCACTTTTCAAATCAGATATTAAATCCTAGAATAATAAAACAATATTTTATTTATCAAACAAAAAAATACTATAAAATTAATAATTATGTAATTATGACTCACAGCATGTCATAAGTCTAACAAAAATGGTGTACTACTTACTTTACCAAACATAGTCTTGAACTGAATTGCAATTTCCTGTCTTTGAGAATTAACTCTATGGGCCAAGACCTGTATTATTGATTTTTCGTCAGTTCCAAACCCTTTCATAGCTTTACGCAATATTTCGGCATCACGACGTGGATCAAATGGAGTGACTGGACGAACCGTTGGATTAGACTAAAACAAAACAGAATGTTTTTCAATATGCATAACATAAATACAATAGACATTTTATAGGTACCATTATTCTTTTTTAAAACTATTGAACTAATATTACAATGTAAAATTATTGAACAAACTAGCAATAAATAACTATTAGTTACTAGTTATTGATTATAAATATTAACATTGATTAAGAAAAGGGCGTATGCATCATCCATTTTTGAATAATGAACAGCAAAATATAGAAGCTAATTATTATGTTATCAACATTATCTTAACTATAGACTTTTAGCGTTAATTAAAGTTAGTGCGATGCAATTAAGTGTTTATGAAAGCGAGATATTAATGAAGTATATATAATATGTATTGCTATTCTTCAGAACTTACTGTTATTTCCTAAATAATAGACATGTAGAATCAGCACTGATTAACAATATTCATGTATAATCATTAGTTACATTTATAAATAATATATAGTAAATAGTTATAATTTTCAAAATTGCATTTATCCATTTCCATCAGATATAAGGTTAAGAATAAATAAAATAATTAATTATTTCATTATTGATTTAATAAAAATTTCAATACAGATACCCATTAAAAAATGGAAATTTTTATGGATTTTTTATTTTAACAGTAATTTTAATCCCTAAGTGGTACGGTGAACAAAAATTATGCTAATGGTATGGTGCGATCTCATAGACCGATTAGTTTTATTTATTATATTAAGACCATATTTTTCAATTGTTCTATCGCATTATTTGTAGAAATAATACTTTTATTTGACTATCATTCTTTCGGCTCAAATTTAATAATTTCAAAGAAATGAATTAATTTTTTAGACATTTTAAGAAGTAAACCAAAACAAAAAACTGCTGCGGTCTATGGGACCAGACCAGATCACGTACGGGTTAAGCTAAATTTTGTTAAAATAAACAAAAAAAATTTAAAAATAGATATTTGTAATTCGTTGATGACAGTTTTAAATATATTGAACCATTAATCTTGATTAGAATCATAATGATAATTTCATTAATTATTAAATTATTGATATATTTAAAAAGAAATTAATGAAATCTCACCTTTTTCTGAGCAGGTGAGCTGCTCAATGGTTGGTAATGAGCAGGAGTGCTAACAGGTGGATATGCTGCTTGTGGTGGAACTCGAGAACCACCGTCGTAACCACCTGCTGTCATATTCGGATAAACTGAAGTTGCTGGTTGATTGGGTGGGTAGGCTGATTGAGTTGGGTAGGCTGATTGAGTTGGGTAGGCTGATTGAGTTGGGTAGGCAGCAGACTGAGGCGCGTAACCAGAAGGCAGTTGGGCATTTGAATATGCAGAGGCTTGTGAGGTGAATTGACCTGGTACCATGGATGGATATTGACCTGCTACATTAGATGATGGGTATTGACTTGGTACAGCAGATGATGGATACATGGATGGATTTTGAGCATATGGACCAGACTGAGGTAAGAACTGTCCGGGCTGTTGAGGTGGATATTGACCTACTTGAGGAGGGTATGGGCTCTGTTGGGGGTAGCTGGGTTGGCCTGGTGGATAAGCACTTGGCATTGGATACCCTTGTTGTCCTACATTACCTCCGGGGATTTGTGGATAGGGTAACTGGGAGCCAGGTTGTTGCACTCCAGGATGGCCAGGGAATCCCTACCAAAAAAACAAAATAGTTCATAAAATATTTTAACTAAGTAAAAAATAAATACATTTATTCAAACGTAGTGATTTGTAAGTTTGTAAAACAATTAAAAATAATTTTCGTCATTTAGCTATTAGAAAATGATAAAACCGATTTTTTAATCATAAATTACCTATATTTAATCATGAATGTACATTGTACATCATACAATATACCTAATTAAATAATCGGGTTGTAGATTGAGTTTTAATATAATTTTTTAGAAAAATTATGATTCATCTTGGTAAGTTTAACAATATTTGTACAGTACCTACTAGAATAAAATTTATATAATAATAATATATATTATAGATAAAAAATAATACTTAATATGCTTATATAATTATCTGTTATTCCGAGTTATACCAATATATTTAAATGAATAAATACATCCATAGTACAATAGTTAAACTTACCTATATAAAAGTAATCATATTTATTTCCAATCTTACGTTAAGCAATGTGAAAAATGTTTAATTTAAGATCAGTGTCATATCATATCATATATATCTACAATTGTATTCTAGATCTAATTAATGGTAGCCGATAGGTATCTGTAAGACAGTATTATTTGTCAATCATTACACCAACAGTGTTTATGTTTATGGTTCACATACATAAACAATAAAGTATGAATGTACTACATTGTATTTCCTATTGATATATTAACTGCTTATTATAACAATAAACCAATATATAAAAGTGAACTTAACTGATAGTATTTTAATGTGACTTTATTTTACTCAGTCATAAACAGATAGGTACATTACCTATATTATGAACCAGTTAATAAAATTACCAAATGAAAATCAGAGATGATACAAATAGTTAGTGCTATTGTATTAATAAAGGCACTGATAAAACTTATGAAAACTGTTAATATACAGTCATAAAGAATGAAGGATAACTTTATCCTTAAAATATTAAAATTTAAAGATTATGAGCTGATATACAAATTGTTTTAGCGCATAAAAAAGCTTACTCCAAGGTTAAAGAATATTTTGTGCAAAATAATGTTTAAGAATATATTGACAGATTGGGGTTTAGTATAAGCATTTTATAAATAATGTAATGGTTTATAAAAAAAAAGCAAAAATATTTTTGACCTCAATCAGCTTATGTACCCTTATCGAGATGAAAAGACACAAAGCAATATTGATAAGATTATCAATTCAAAGAAAATGACTATACTCTGTTCAAGTTAAGAAACGTAGTCGGCAATGACCAGTTTTCATCAAACCGCAATCAGGCAACACTTGTTTATCACCCCCGCCTAGTTAATTAGCTGTACCTATACGTGCCGTGTAGTATTGCCACACCCCTGTGCACAAGTTGGCCGCCGACTACGTTTCTTGCTTTAAACAGAGTATAGATACACGGACTCTGGTTTAGCGAGGTGTCATTGAGTGGCAAGGGAAGTACGTCTTGTCTCGAGGGGAGTCAAAATGGGAGAGCGAGCCGACCCCGCTATAACAAAATATCACTGTTTGAATAATTTTTTTAAGTTTAGCATTAATTTAACTATTTTATAATTTTTATACACTTTTCCTTTTATTAGTTTTATCAGTATTTAATGTATTTTTATGAAAAATCATTTATTTCATTAAAAGAAAATAAAAGATTATTTTGATGAAATTATAAAGCATAATAACATCTTATTTTTAAGATTTTAGTAGCATATAAATTCTGTCTTTAGTAATGACTAATGACACAATTAATGTGAAAATACACTTTTTCTACAACAATAATGAAATAAAACAAACAAATTGTTTTTGCGTATAAAATTGGTAGGTATTCTGGAATTGAACTGTTTATAACACGCAAAGATTTGATTCAATTTTTTCAAGCCTGTTTGCAAACATTAATGACTAATACCTATTGACTATTAATTGGGAAAAAATTATTTGGTACCTACACAATGTAGATGGTTCCTACATCGTGGGTACCTACCACCTATTAAGTATTTGTAAAAAAAATATTAGTCAATTTGTTTCCTCTCAACCAACTAGAGTTATCATTTGAAATCGATTTCTACTACCTAGCATGCATCCTTCATGCAGTTAGATATTTTGCTCGTATAAACAAGTTAGTTTCAGCCGTATAAGTAAGGAGACACCTATCGTATAAGATAATATAGACGATGAAAAATTGTAGTATTAAAAAACAAAATTAACTCACCTGATTGTTGGGAGGATATCCTGGATAGCTCATGTTTATAGATTATTGGAATTAGAAATTATTTTTTATATATGGACGGGGGGGCAAAGTTAAGACTAAACAAACGAAACAAAATATTATGTTGGACAGTGAACGAGTAATGACGGTCAGCACTAAAGTACTACGTGCGACTACTGACTGAACCAGTAACCACCAACGGCACCAACGAGCAACGAAAAGAATATTATGATACTGCAACACGAACGAGTAGTGATTAATGTGAGTCGCCACTGATGAATGATGATGACGAGTCGACGGATGACTAATGGGTTTCGTATGTTTGATTATTGAGTTAATTAGTAATTACAATACGAATTACGAACACAACCTTGATGACAAAATAAACAGGCATGTCAGCAAAATCGTTCTGCAGACATGGAACAAACGAGTTCTTTATCAACATCCCAATACGATGGATTTTATCCGACTCGTATTTTTGTGATAAGTTGCCGACATACCTGGTTAGTTATATGTGGTTATAATATACAGTAAACCGTGGTTATATCGCAGAATAATATTCTGAGGTTATATACTTATATCATGATTGTGACAGGGAGTGGGCAGTTGTCTGAAAATTGATAAGATATTTTTTCTGATTCAGTTTGAACAGGGGTACGACACTCCGTGAATTGGTCGGATCGGGTGATTGTGGCCTTGAAAATGGTCTCTAGAGGGGCGTGGCATACGTTACAGTAAACAGTGGAAACAATTTTTCTATGCTGGAAACAACCCGACCCCGCGCAGAATACCCTGCCTATTAAGCGGAAACGGTTTTTCAATACGGGTATAACATCATGTTGGTAAACGGAAACAGTTTGAATGTTCGGACTTCAGATCATAGGTAAACACTTCACCCATCAGCTGATCGAGTGTCGCTTCTATATTGTTCTATGGTTTGAAGTATTGCCAACGTTTGATAACAAAATGTTTGTACAGACATTATCATTATCAAAAAATAAAACGTATCATTAATATAATATTATGTACTAGCTCTAAGTGTAACTCGGGGACAGTTGGACTCGCTGGGAGTAGGTACCGATTTTGGAGACAATGAATTATAAAAGTCGCAAAGGTTGTAAGACAAAAGTTTAGGATTTGTGATAAGGATTAGTGTTATGGATTGGAGATAAGGCTAGACGTTTTGGCGGGAATGTTAAGAGTTTGAGCGTCTAGCAATCCGTCACAAACGTTGTAAATGGATAGGCTGGATACATGCACATATAGTGGTATGTGCCGTAGCATGACCGGTGCTTTATCTTATGTAAAAAGTGTAAAGTCGAAAACCGTGTTGGGGTTTCTAGCAAGTCAGTCATCTCAAGTCAAAATCTATTAACTTTCAAGTTAGCCACTTAGGTAGGCAACCCGACTTCGTCGGATCGCGGACAATGTGCTACAGCAAATCAGGTAGGCAATCCACCTGCGGTGGATTGCGGACCCGACATCAAGCGGCTATAAGTAAAAACCCTATCACACAACTTACGAAATAATTTACGAAAAATTCAAACTATTTACAATATACATACAAACAAATATGATATGTATATTTTATTGTGTGATATAATATAACAATGAACATTTTAAGAAATGTGCAATTATAATTCCTAAAAAAAAATTAACATAAAGGTAGATAGTTAGATACATGCTATTATATTAACCAATACAATAGGTACATATAAACATGTAACTATAGTGTATATACAGGGTGATTTTTTTATCGTGAACCAGTTAATATCTCGGGAAGTATTAGTAATTTTAAAATAATTTTTTTTTTAAACTTTCTAGGTTTTACTATTTTACACTGTGTTACAATTTTGAAAATTTTAACTTCCTCCCTTATTTGATAAAACACTATCAACTTTCGATTTTCAAATGGCAATACCTATTTTCGATAACGAAAATCTATAAACATACTGAAAAAAAAAATTTAACGTTTACAGAATTTAATTTGAGTAAGCCGTTTACGACTTATTAATGCTGAAATATTCGTTAAATTTACTGCTACTGGGCAATTTAACAACCCAACTGTAAAAACCAGAAGTCAAAACGAAATTTTATCTCAATTTAACAATACCCATAACGGTAATAATCAATAATAACAAGATAGATAAACAATACTATAAGAAAAAAAAAAGTGTTCCATCATCACTCCCACCAGAATACCGAGTGTCAGTGAACGAGTGAACGACTATTATAGCCATCCGCGGCCTGCAGCAGCTAGGCTTTATCAGCTATAAAGTATAAAAACCACGGACTAAGATATACCTTAGTATATCTTAGTCCGTGATAAAAACATTTTAAATTTATCATAATGGTTACATAATATAGCACTGGTTACTGATCCCTGGTATACGGTCTTATCACGTATTTGTAGATAAACGATAATAAATGCCGGTAAACTGTTTCTGAAAACATGTGGTTATTGAGTTTTCCATTATCAAATATTAAATATTAATTTTTAATTAATTATTATTCTTTGAACGTTAAACCACAGAATACGCTTTAAGTAAATTCTTAATTATGTGTATTATTTAAAATATAAATTTAAAGTTTAGGTAAGCCAATTATTCCAATGCATACCTATTATATTTTTTGATAGTGTTTTAATGTTGTATTTTGGTTAACAAATTTGTATTTAATTAAAAATATACTTCTATCCAATCAGAAATATTATTATGTATATGGGAATCAGATTTCATACTTAGCCGACAACTTTATTTGTATAATTTATTGGTAAGTTCAATCTAAAATTAATATATTAGAATTTTATTTTTTTATTAAATGATTTATACATACATATTATTGACAAATAATAACCAGGGTTAAAATATTTTAATTTTATTTCAGTGGCAATTAGTAGAGTTTACATAATTCATCAAAAAATACAGTGAACTATATGACTAGACAACTAAATTTGCTCAGAAATTAATGCAAATTCATATTGCTTTCTACTGGTACCTATCTGATGACTATAAATTAATATGGAATAAAGGAATACAATATACATACATATTTCTATATTATATTATAATCTTTCAACAAACTAAACAATCAATTATGTAAGTATGAATTGTTTTTTAATAAATAATAACCAGGGTTAAAATATTTTAATTTTATTTCAGTGGTAATTAGTAGAGTTTATATAATTAATCAAAAAATACAGTGAACTATATGACTAGACAGGTCAATTTGACCAGCAATTAATGCAAATTTACATTGCTTGCTACTGGTACCTATCTGATGACTATAAATTAATATGGAACAAAAAAATAAAATATCCATAATTTTTTTACATATTATACTTATTTTAATCTTTATACAAACTAAGCAATTTATTATGTAAGTATGAATTTTTATATAAAATAAATAATTTGATGTTTATCATAATTTTTGCTTATTTTTTAGATAATTAATTTTGTTTTCTTTCAAATTTCAATTGCAATTAGTAGTACTAACTTTTAATTCAAATATCTATAACAAGATTGGATGAACAAATACAAAATGTTATTTTGGTTAGTTACAGCATAGTACAACTCACCTGATAACTTAATAAGTATGAATAAATAATTATTTTTTTCTATAGAATAAATCATTTCTATAAATAATTTAATGTTTTTTTTTAGTTGCATTCAGATAAAAAAAAACAGTGCAGAATCAAAACCAACAACTACTTCTACATTTATAAAATTTATTGATGGTCACATTAACAGTTAATTGTATGTTTAAATAATTAGGTTAAGTTATTGATTTACTAATTTCCATAATTAGGGCTATGGAGTTTTTATTAAACTGAATTGGTAAATTGGAAATTTTTTTTTTATATGATACCTAGTGTCATTTTTATGCAATATTAAAAGATTTTTATATCATAAAATTGTAATTAAAAAATAACATAATTTCAAAAATAAGTGTAAAAGTGAATAATTTCCATAGCCCTAAAAATATGCTGTAATCTAGAGTAGATAATATAAAGTATGTTCAATGTTCATTTAATTTTTATTAATTTATCTAGGGTAGTGGACATGTTAAGTGTTAATATTTTTTATTAGTTATGACCAGGGCTCGTAAGTTCATGCATCTGCATGTTTTTTTTGCTACACAGGAAAACATGCTAACTGAGATACAAATCCGTTTCATAACAATAGTAATAATAATATGAAGTTTGATAGTGCATGTTTTTGCATGTTTTGGGTGTAAAGTCATATTTGGCATATAGTTGATTTTTTACAGTCGTTAGTGCATATTATTTCATAAAAATATTTTTTAGACAAATATTTGAAAAGTTTCTTCCGATTTTTGATATCTTGTTCCAATCGTCCAATATCGCATGGTAAAGTATAACGGTTTTTTAAATTTTTTATTGATTAATTATTTAGCTAATTAATAAAAATATCGAAAATCGGGCTTCTTACGATTGTAAAAAAAGTTCTACTCTACAATTTTTATAATAGGTATTTTTACTGTAAGCCACTTCAATAAGCCGTATTACTTGAATTACGAAACCATGGTTTTATGCCATATTTTGTCTACTAGTGCGCCCTCTTAAGTTGGAAAACATAAAAAATACACTTATAAAATATATATTACTAAATTATCTCAAAATGAAAAATCTAATATTTAATTCCAAATGTTTTCATTGTTGGTGCTGAATAAGGGTGTATACAAATTAGACAAAAATGACTACCTAATTAAAATTTATAAAGATAACAAAGCTATTTGAACTTCACAAGTATTAATTTTATTTTTTATTTTATTAATTTTGACTGTTAAATATATAAAAATAAAAAGGAATAAAATACTTTTAAAATGTATGGATTTATTCTAACTTTAAAATTTGGTCATGTTTTTTTTACATAATGCATATTTTGAGTTTATAATTTAAAAATGTGAAGGCATATAAATGCCTATTTTCGAACTTTTAAGTGCATATTTTAATGCATATTTTGACAATTTTTAGTGCATGAATGCATGCTTATTTATGCATTTTTTAGTGCATG